CGTGAGTTCAAAGCTGCACGTTCAGGCCTTTGGTGGGCTCCGAGGGTGTCCGCCTGCCTACCGATCCCGAGGGGCGCTCTCTGGGGCGCACGGGCGTCGGAGCCCATCCCCAGGCGGGCACTGACGGGCTGAGTCCCCTGCCAAGTCTTAGGAACTGCCCCCCTGAGACTTACTCCTTTGTGCTTGGCTGATGGGACCCCAAGCCTCAGACCTACTGTGAAGGGGCTTTCACGTCTTAATTTTCTGAGGTCCTACGGGTGCGCTCTCACGCTCCCTGTCTCCTTGGGACCTGAGGCCGTGGGAGGCGGGGCAGCCTGGCACCCTAGGAACCTGGAAGCCACCTTTTGGGTCAGGGCTGCTCAGAGCTCCCTGTGCATCCCCCCGCCCTGAAATTGGGGCGGGGGGGGGCTCCTTTCACGCTCTTAACGCAGGAGAGGCCTGAGCCAGCTGGACGTTGGGGGCCTGGGCCAGGAGGAAAGAGAGGGGGGCAGGCAGGCTGCTGGGGCGCTGCAGAAGGGCGGGGTGGTGGAGTGATGTTGGCTGCTCCTCCACCCCATACCGAGGTCTGGCTTCTTCCTTCTTAAAGGCTGCCTAGCGGCTCCAAGAGCCCAGCAGAAAACAGCAAGGTGTCCTCAGGGCCTGGGGGCCCGGGCCGGGAGGAAAGAGAGGGGGACAGGCAGGCTGCTGGGGTGCTGCAGAAGGGCTGATGGGAGGGGGCGGGTGTGTGATGTCGGATGCTGGCTTCCCCCTTCTTTTTTTTAAAATATATTTTATTGATTTTTTTTTTTACAGAGAGGAAGGGAGAGGGATAGAGAGTTAGAAACATTGATGATTGATGTTTCCATCTCTCTCTCCCTGAAATCAATTTAAAAACTTTTTTTTAAAAAAGAATCACACGAGGCCTGCACCGGTGCCCAGACAGGGTGGGACCCAGATAACACTGGCATGGGCCTCAGCCTCCTGCCACTCCGGGTGGGGGGGGGCAGGGGAGCATCCAAAAAAGGCAGCAGCAGAAAAGGTGGGGACAAGAAGGGGCCTCGGGCGCCTCCACGGGCCGCAG